GATTCCTCCAATCGAGGAACAATTCAAGTATTTCCAAGCCCCCATCTCGCCAGTGGTCAGAAGCTGTCCGCCTCCTCTTCCCTTTCAATCTGTCTCCAGGTGCTCAACCTTTCTCTTACAGAAATCCCTCCCTTCCTCCAGCTCCATTCAACCTGTCATCTTACTCTGGTTCCATGGCTCCAATGTTTTAAATTAGTCCTGTTGCTCCTTGAGTCTTTACATGAACCTTTTTAAAAAACTTTACGATGGAGATATAATGCAGACACAGTAATGTGTAAAGGACACGGATCTTAAATGTATAGCTCAAGGATGTTGACCTATGCACACACCTGTATAACCCCCCCAAGCAAGATGGAGAACATTCCTAGCACCCGCTGCTGCTTCCTGCCCATCTCTGCCAGCCCTGGAGAGACCCCTCTGCTGACCTCTTCCACCACTGACTAATTTCAGGCATAGAATTTTTAATTCCCTTCCTAGTCCTTGGATTATAAAGATTCCAGTGAATTTTCTCTGCCTCGGTTATAGGAGACAACTTATGACTTATCTCCTGTATAATAAAGGCCCCTGGGGCTTTTGTCTTGCCATCATAGAGCCCTTTTCTACCCGTCTGTGGTTAAACCCTAGGAAATACACAGCTAAGCACCCGGAGGCACTCTGACACATGACCCCCCCTTGTCAGGGAGGCCAGCTCATCCCTGCTTGCCCAGAACTTTGCTGCTTTTCACTCTAAGTAGCCCACGTCCTCCAAACCCAGCAGCCCTGGGCAAACCAGAGGTTGATCACCCTAACGCCTTCTCTCCCTGACCCTGGCCACAGTTCAAAGCAGACATGAAGAGCAGAATTCAGGCCTGTTAATCCAGCAACCATATTTCTGGGCCTGACACTAACCATTTGAAGGCCCTCAGTTATCAAATTCATTTTATGTGACCTGCATGGAACTCAGCCATCTTTTCATTTGAAAGTCTCAGCCTCTAGTCCAGAATGAGCAACAGGATGGGTATAGGGGAAGGGGTATGAAAAGGAAAACTTCTTTTGGATTTGGCATTCAGTACTCAGCACTCCACCAAGGAGAAGAGCTAGTGCTCACTGCATGCAGCCCAGTGATTCTCAACCCTGATTTTGCGTCGGAATCACCAGGGTGCCAGCAACTCTGGCAGAAGCCAGGCTTCGCGGACCCAGAGCCTCTGGGTCCATGAAGCTGAGAAGAAAGCTATCCACGTGGGCAGCCCTCGGGGCCTCTCCTGACCCAGGAACCAAACCTCTCTCCCTGCCTGAGCAGTCTGAGAGCCTAGCCAAGGGCTGTCATGACCCCTACAGTTTAATCTATTTTCTGGCTAATCACAGCCTCAGCCCTGTGCCTGTGAACCCAGCCAAAGCCACTCAGCACTCCAAAGCACGGCACATCTGCGGCCACACAGAAGCCACTGTGGCCACACAGGTCAAAGGTCTCTTCTCTCTCTTTCAATGGTTTCATTGAATCCTGTGGCTTTAAATGTTATTTATAGGCTGGTGACTCCCAAATTTATAGCTCATGCATTGCCATCCCTATAGCTTAGAGCTGCAGGCTCCCACCCACGCTGCCTTCCTTCCGGCGCTCCTGGGGTGGCTCGGGGTCATCTCAGCTTGAGCCTGACGCTGTGTTTGTCTTTCCTCTCACCACCCTGTTCTGACCTAGCACAAGTCCCGTCTCTGGGTCCACAGCATTCCTGGCATCTCCCAGCCGTTCTCCAGCTCAGCGTGTCTGCCCAGCCCAAGCCCCTGAGAGACTGAACCCACCCCCTGTACCCCTCCTCCCACCTTTGTGCCCCTCAGTCTATTCTTCACCCAGAAACCAGAAGGATCTTTAGAAAAGGAAAAGCTTTATTGGGATATAATTTATATGCCATAAAATACAAGCATTTAAAGCATAAAAATCATATTTTTTTAGTATATTCACAGAGTGGTACAACCATCACGATAATCTAATTTTAGAACATTTTAACCCCCAAAAGAAGCCTTCTGCCCATTAGCAGGCTCTCCCCATCCTCTCTGCTCCCTTCCCACCCTCTGGTCCCAGGCAACCTCTAATCTACGTTCTGTCTCTGTAGAACAGCCTGTTCTGGACATTTCATATAAATGGAGTCATACAGTGTGTGGTCTTTGCGTCTGGCTTCTCCCATTCAGTAGGACGCTTTGGAGGTCTGTCCATGCTGTAGCAGGTAGCTAGTGTGCCTCACTCCTTTCTCTTGCCAGTAACGTCTGTTGTATGGGTATACCCCATTTTCTTTACCCATTCATCAGTGGACACTTGGGTCATTTCTCCTTTTTGGCTAGTAGAATGGTCTTTTCAAAAACAAATCACACGTCACTCCCCTGCTTAAAACCTTTCCATGGTCCCCATCAAAATGAAACTTGCTGCCACAGACTGCAAGATTCTTGATGAAGACGTCCCACCCTCTCTCGCCAACCTTTCCTTAGCCCACTGCCTTCTTCAGGTTTCTTTCAGCCTGTCTTTCCTGCCTGGCTGCCTCCTCCCCCTTTGCACTCCCCTGCAGCATGCCCTGCTGAAATCTGCTGGACTAAATCCTCACAACGACATGGACATGCCACTGAGTTTCATGCTCCCCTGCCCACTCAGGGACCAGAAACAAGGTGCAAAAGAACTGCTGCAGGGCTGCCCCTGGCCAGCGGCCCCACTGGCCCAGCCTCCCAAGGCCTTGCCCTGCCCCGCTCCTTGGTTTGGAGGCAAGCCCTCCCGGGAAGGGTGCCTGTCCATGGGACACCCAACCATCCTCCACTTCCAAGGTCCAGAGCTGTCTCCCCAGACCTGGGTCCGAAGACTGATCCTTTTCCCAAAGGCTCACTGACTTGAATCAAGTCTCATAAACCCACTCCCTTGGGCCCCATCTCTCCAGCCCTGGGCCATAGAGACCAGGGGGCGTCTGTGTCTTTAACAAAAAGCAAGTGATAATAAATAAAAGTAATCCGGCAAAGAAAAACCTCATTTATTTTCCAGGGGCCTTGGCTCATCAATCTTCCCCTCCTAACCTGCTTTGTGCTCTGTTAGTTTTGCTTCCTGATAGAACGGAATTTGGTTTTCTAACAGCATCTGTCGTACGCAGGGTGTCCCCAAACATCAGCGGTAATGAGTTGGAAGTGGCACAGCTGGAAGCCTTCGAAGCCAACACCAGATGTCTGTCCCTTGGTGGGTCCCTCTGAAGATGCGGGGCCAGAGCACAAGGGCTGTTTCAGGGCCCACAACTCTTGTTCCCTGGGAGCCATTCATCCAAAAGACCCTGGAGTGCCCACCATGTGCCAGTCCTGTGTGGGCACTGGGAAGGTGCCTGCACGGTGCTGTCATGGCTGGTTACCCATGAAGGACAGAAGTGGTAGAGGCAAGCCCCTGCCTCCAATCAGTCAGCTGGGCCATCCCCTGGGAGAGAGCATGGCAGGAGATTTGGACTCAGACCTGGGCAACTTGAGCTCAGGTTCCTTAAAGACACAGCAAACCATTTTCACCTCACTGGGTGGCTTGAGAATAAAATGAGACAGCATAAAGCATCCTACTTCAAGCCCAGCATCTACCATGCTCAGTGACTCTTCAATTCCTCCAACATCGGGACCTGACAGATGCACAGGCCCTGCGGTTGACAGTGATCTCCAAGGATGGGGCTGCTGCCCCCTGGGCTCAGGGTTCCCATCTAGACTCTGCACCTGCTGCCCCTCCTGGGAAAGTGCAGACAGGGCCATTCTCTGGGCTCCTGGCACTCTTAATACAACAGAAGAGAGCCCCAGCAGAACCAAGGTTCCTGGAGACGTGACAGATGCAAAAGTATTCCCTCAAACTCTACCCGCCTCCATTCTCAATGTCCTCCTCGGAGCACGCCAAGCGCTATTGTCCTGAAAAATCACTCCTGTGGCCCAGCCAGGGCCAGCAGAAGACAGGATAGCTGGTAAGTCACAGCCTGGCCTTACCTCACAGCAAGGGGCTGCCAGCCCCGCCACGGGGTATTTTCTCCTCACCACAATCCACAGGGAGGGCGTCTTTTAGCACCTGTGAGTGAGGAACTTTGGGCACAGGCCGGTGAGGGCTTCAGCTCCGCACCACCCGTGTGTGGTCTGGAAAGGTAGTTCTTACACCTGGCGAATCTGCATAGGTGGCCTTTCAGTTGGACCATGCGGGGAGTGAAATAGGAGTTGGACTTCCTTTGTAATTTGTTTTTCTACATAACCAAAGACATTTTAGAAGGCAGGAGGGATAAGGGTGGAGGGTGAGGTACCTCTGGGCCGCTGGAGGATGGTCACTGCCCTCCTCTGGCCTCCCTCAAATCTGCCAACAGTGGACATGAGGCCTGGTGGCCCGTGGGCCCCTCCCCCTGAGCTTGAGGGCTTGCGAGCCGCCCGCCCACCCAGCCCCGTCGGTCTCCCGGTCCTCAGCCTGCGATTGCTCGGGCTCCGCCAGGCAGGATGGGAGCGGCGGCCAGGGTCGATTTAGGAACCTGAAGTGCGGGAAGGAAGCGCAGAGGTGGCAAGATGGAAGGGCCCTGAGGGAGGCAGGGCCGCAGGGAGGCCAGGCAGCCCTTCAGCCCTTCACTGCCTGGTGCACCCCAGCCGACTCTGCCGTACCCGCGCGGCCGCCACCAAACGCCC